TGATCCCCGGCAACAGGTTAACCTCAGAAACATCAGGCAGTCTGCACATGCAGAAAGCCCCCTGAATCCTGAACATAATGAATTTATTGTATATGTGCAGTACCCTCAGGGGTGTAGTAAGAGAAAAATCCTGACCTTTTGTGGACAGTTGAATATAATATAGGCAAAAAAGTCTAATGACTGAAATATTCTCAAGCCCCTGGGCATATATGCCTAAGCAGTTGGTGCACACTGGATTTCATGAAAACGATTATACATAATTAAATATATAGGGCACATATTTGCTTTTTCTTCTTTAGTTCAAATGAAGACTGTGTTTCTAGGTTAAAATGTCCATGTTACCTTTCCCTTCCCTACATACCTGTTTTTAAATAATTTTTATGACTGTATGCTTGGATGATCACTTCCTTTTGACGACAAAAGGATTTTATCTTCTTTCCCTTCTCTCTTTTACTCTCTCTATATTATTGGAGGCTGAGGTTTGTTAAAGTTTTATTACTTAGCATTCATATAATTCAAGCATCTTCCACAGTGTTAAGACTGTTATTTTCAAATGATCTGTGATTGGCAGTGTCTTCCTAAAAGCAAAACAAACCCAGCGCTCTCCCTCCCCTTTATTCTCTCCTCCTTCCCAGTTTTGTATTTCCCGCCATGTTACTTTTTGTTGCATTTTCCTTGCACTCTCTTTCCGTTTTCCTGCATTTTGCCTAAACAGGCTGCACCACAGAAAAATCTGGTCATGTGACTGCCCAAGAGCATAATTAACCTTTGTTCCTTTAAGTCTCTGGGATGGTTTAGGTCAGAACAACAATAAAAGAATCTGCAGCAGAGTGATCTTTCTGAAAGGAAATAACATCCTCTTCAAAGCTCTGTTAGATATGTATTTTGCTTGTATTTCTGATAGGATCTTACTGTACTTTTCAGATTCTCAAAGTTTATATATTACTTATAAGAATGAAAGCTTGGAGTAAAACTCAAAACTGGTTGTAATTGTCTTTAGTTGTGGTTAAGTACAGAGTGCAGTACACCTAGGGATGCTCTTCTCTCAGTTACAGGCCAAATTCTGCTCCTGTTCAAGCCAATAGAAGTTGTGTCTTTGACTTAGCAAGACTGTACGTACTCAGGACTAATGATTCTAAATTAAATTCAGTCATGTTTTTAATGTAGTTAAACCTTACTCTCAACCTTCTTGCACAAATAAGGAAATGCACTCTTGTGCACCTGCATTAAAAGGTGCCCATGCCCCCTCAGGAACTACCACTTCTTTCTCTTTGTTGCACCTTTTAGCAAAAAAGCTAAAGCAAAATGAATTTTACCAGCCTTGCACATTCCCTGGATTCCTAATATTTAGGATTGCACATTAAAACAGAGGAAAAATTCTGTCTTCCTACCAGCTAAGGTACCTAATCCTGATGGTTATGTTTTGTTTGCAATTTCCCTTTGTGTGCTGCAGACTATGAGATGCATTACTCAACGTGCTGTGAAGGGGAGAGTCTGAGCAGTTTGACTTTCCTGCTGGGAACCGAACAGACAGCAGAGGAAAAATAAACAGAGCAAAGCTGGAGAATTAACCGAGAGGAGGCTGGCACCGATGGCATGGCAGGCTGGCAGCCAGGCCCGCGAGGCCTCGCAGCGGGACACGGCAGCCGGCTTCAAAACACATGCCAGCAGGGGAGGCCTGCAAGAGCCCCTTGCCACGGCAGAGGCAAACTCCTCCCTTCCTAGCAGCGACACTCATTGCCCGATTTGGGGGAGGGGGGTCCTTTTCTTGAAAGGAACTATCTTGCGTTTTTTAGGCTGGGTGACATGCTTTGCACAGTACAAGCAACCTCCCCTTCCCCGCCGCCACGAAAAGCGCACGTTGCCGAGGGCGGGCCGGGGAGACGGTTTGCAAAGCAGCGCGGAAGGCCGAACAGCCGCGCCTGCTCGCTGCTCCCCGCGCAGGGCGGCG